TGAGCTGGGAGCGTGTGCTAAAGTTAGCACAGGCTCTGGATTCACTTCTGCACAGCCTCCTGGAGAATTAGTTCTTGGTGAGAAGTGGGAAGTTTAAGGCACCAGGTACAAGCCTTTAAAAAAAAAAAGGTATCAAAAATGCAGTGTGTGGATTGTGCTGAGAGTATTTCAGAGTGGGAGAAGGAAACAGCTTACAAGATCTTGTCTCAAGCTGTGGAGTAATTCTAATGGGGTGTAGCATATCATATCTTTGGTTCAGTAAGTCTATAGTAATGGTGTCTTTTTAATTAAAAACTTCTGAGAAGCCCCTTAGATCTGAAGTTTGGTAAATTCCCTTCAATTCAGTGTAAGTGCTCCAAATGTGTGTCAGTGAATGAGAATTTGTTTTATCCAGGACGTTATTGCTTGTAATGATCCTTGACCAACAACCCATGTAAAACTCCGTTTTTCCATAGATGCCAAGTAGTAGGAACAGTTTCTCCAAGAACACATCTCAAGCACAGTCTAAAGTTTCTGGACTGAGAGAATAGATCAATCTATATGGTCAGCTTCATCCCTCACCTCTTAATGAAATGCCAGGTTTGAGGGCTTTAATTGGGCATTGTTCTGTAAGGAAATAGGCTGAGGCTGACAGGTCACTGCATAAAAGCCACTACAGAGAAATGTTTTGTGACACTGCCAGCCAGGGCCCCAGCTCCATCATCAATAGGCAGTCTGATTTTAGGTGTTATCATCTCATCTTTCAAGGAAAATAGGCTACTGATGTCTTTCAGCTTTTTATTATATGGGCCACTGCATTTTACTACCATCTCAGAAAGAGACATCAAAGTACTCTTCAGATTCTTTCTAGGAAGAAAAATAGGTAACTGCTGGAAACTGTGGGTTTTGACCATTTGTTAAATATAGCTTGTAAAAGACTCATCCCATTTTTTCCATGTGTCGCAAGGCACTTGGTTAATTAATGTTTGTTTTTGATTGAACTGTTTTAAGTCCAACTTTGATTAATTCTGGCATAAAAATAATTATTAAATAGAAAATTACAGTAAAACACCATTATGTCATAAATTGAAAAGAGTGATGCCAGAGAGCAATTCAACATACACAAAGAGAACAATTTGTTCTTGCTCTGCATGGTGGTAGACTTTCCCTTTTAGCCATGTTCATATAAATAATTTAAAAGCAAAATTCTAAGTCCGAGTAGGGATAAATAAGTTTGCAATAACAAATCATCAAATGAATATTCAAAGTATCAATGAAATGTTTTCTCGTAAGTATCTGTAGTTTGCAAGTAGCTGTGCACTCCTGATTTAAAGTGTCTGGATAGAAACTCTCTGTTCTCACATCTGGGACCACTGTGTGTCCAGATCCTTGTGCTCAGGCACACATTCAGTTTGTTTACATCTACAGATGTAGCAATTTATTAACTAAAAGTCAAGACTTTTACTGCAGTAACAGTGGAATTGAGCAGTCTAAGTTTAGTTTGTTTATAAACAATAGTACCTGTAATGGAAAGAGTTCAGGTTAACTAAATAGGGAGAAAATACTGGAAATTATATTTCTGGTCTGCTTATGTTCAGAGGGAGGAGAATTCTGAAGTTCTGTGTACTTCCTATTGCCTGAAGTCTTAGAGCAGAACAACACTGAATCAGTATGAAAAAAGAAGCCTTGCATTTGGTCTTCAGTAAGAATAATTGCTTTCAAATAATTTTTAAAAAATACATTTTATTTAACTGCTGAGATTCTGTTAACAGACTCTGAACTCACATTCTGCTGTCAAATTAAGAAGATGAAGAATGTAGGTTAAAAACAACAGCCGTTTCAACAAAATGAAAAGACAAAATTTGGACTGTTGAATTCACAGTTCTGTATTGAAATTTAAACTAAAATTAGTACATAAAGGTAAAACTGACATAGGAATGGTTTCAGTGAGCAGGCACACAGCTGCTGCAAGGAGCTGGGACTAACACTGCTTTGCATTCAAAGCAGAAACAATCCTAACCTGGTGTCCCTGGCAGCCCTTCAGTATCATGGTTGTAAGAGCACTTGAGCTACAAGAGCCTGCTCCTCCAGGTTGAGCTTTCTCAGCGTTTCCAGGGGAATTCCCCCTCACAAAAGCACACCTTGCCTTCCGAGTAACTGACAGCATCTCATCAGACTCAAGTCCTCTTCATTGAAAGATGAAGTTCAGCCCTGGCAGGGAAAACATGAGTTCTCACCACCCTCAGGTTTCAGCATAATAAATACCCAAGGCCAGATCTTCCCTGCAGTGGTGGGCAGGTGTGGAATTGGCACCAATTTGGCACCAGTGAGCTGCCTGCAGCTGCTAGGAGTGTCAGATGATGCCAGGATGCCCCTGCCATCCACAAGCACAGGGGACAGTGATAGCACGTGGGGACTGTCCTGGGCTGGCAGCTGTGCCATGTGCCAGAAGGGAGGACAGCCATCTGACAGCTTGGAAATGGGGATGTGCTGACTGGAAGTGTGGGTCTGTTGGGCCCAGGACTGCAGTTTATGAATAAGCATCTGTCTTCAGGTACCACATGGCACATCAGGCTCAGAGGCAGACAACAGGGCTCGCCTTCAGCCTTCCCAATCAGCAAGCTCTTTTCTCTCCCTGGTGTAGGTAGATTGGAGTTTTATCCTTGCCAAAACCATAGGATATAATGTACTTGTGCATTGGCTGTATATTTGTAAGGGAAGGGGGGACCTGCTGAAGGAGGGAGGTCCCTGAGGCTGGGGAATGGTTGTCACAGCCCTGTGTGCTGTTGCTCCCAGGCTGGCCCAGGGAAACTTGGCAGGGTTGGCATACACACAGGCAGGGCTCCTGCTGCCCATACCCTCTGAGCATAGGAAAGGAGGATCACTTACCTTGCCTGCAGGTCTCCAGGGGCAGGACCTCCTTGCCCCTCAGCTCTGCAAGGCTGGATCCTGGGGCAGGGAACTCTGAGCTTATGAGCTTCTGCATTACTGCATTTATGGTTGATGACTGTCTGTCCATGTGCTGGCTGGGAACCTGAGCTTTGGCAGCTGTTGTGCCCTTTCCTGCACACACCTTTAGTGTCTTTTTTGTGCGAATTTGAGTTATTCCTTTGGTCGCCAAAGTTAATTGTGTTTGCTAATCATTTTTCAGCTTTCAAAACAAAAATCCTGTCATCTTAATGACTTGCTGTTGCTACATAGGCAGTCCTTAGCATGTGTTTGTGCATGCAAGGATTTAATTAAAACCTTAATAACTAAATAATCACCACACAGTCTGGGAGTCTGTGAGATAGCACTGTGGGGACATTTCTTGAGTTTCTCAATTGCACACCACATTACTGTGTACTATTTTTGATGCTGGGTAACAATACTCCAGCTTTGCTGGTGAGGTGTGTATAGATTATGAGGCAGCTGGAACAGTGAGCCCAAGAGCAGTGGTTTACTCAGATCTGTCTGAGGCATTTCCTTTGATCATGCCACAGCTGAGAGACACTCACATCTCCTAGAGACCAAGACTAAAGTATTTGCATTAGGGTGCCTGAAGTGAATATCCTAAACAGAAATGCCCTGATTCGTTTATCAGAGGTACTGAACACAGAAAACTTTTTTTTAAAGTTGTCATGCTTTGCAAAGTGGCTCTGACAGTCGTGTTTCTGGGTGATGGTCAGTATTTTGGGCATTGATTACTCCCATTGATCAGGTGTTCAGCACTGATGAAGCCTCTCCCTAGGTGCCTCTCTGCCCTCCAGCTGCAGGGCAAACCCCAGCTGAGCTCCTGCTTTTGCATCCAGCCCTGAGAAAATGTCCCATGGCCACATGAGACATCAGTCAGAGCCTTGCACTGTCATGTTACCGTGTTGGTGACAATGCATGGCTTTGGAAGGTGTCACCTGTGGGCACTTGGTGCTGCTGTGGCCGAGCCCTGCGTGGGCTCTGCAGGGGTCAGCAGGCAGTGATCTCCTGTCCCACAGCAACAGCGTGGGCTGCACCAGGGCAGCAGAGCTGCTCTGTGGGAAGGGCTGTTCTGCCCTTGCCTGGCAGCTCAGCAGTGACTCGTTTCAGAGATGGAGCAGCCCCACACCTCACACAATGTCTGTGTCCTGCTCTCCTGGCCAACAGCCCTCAGCTCCACAGCCCTCAGCACACAAGGGAGAGGGGCCAGACCACAGTGCAGACAGTGAATATCTGTCTTTTTGGCACATGTAGCTAGGAAATAAAAGAAATGAACAAGTATCTTGGTGTAAGCGGATATGAGGCAGGGACAGCCTTGTTAGCTGCAGCATGGACGTGGCTGAGAGCAAAAGCCCTGGTGCCTGTCCCTGCCCAGGGGGAGCTGTGTCCTCCCTCAGCAGCTGTAAGAGCACAGGCACCTCTTTCCTGCCCCAGCACGTGCCTCAGTGCCCCACAGCCCTGTCCTACCTCATGAGGTCCCTTCTCAGAGCAGGAGCCGTCTTGGCCTCCCTTGTTTGGACAGAATGACTGTAACAGACGTGTTCCACATCTGACCTCTGTCTTTCTATAGCTCCTGTGCACGTTTTTAATTTAAAATTCCACTCTTTCCTATAAAAGGTAAAGAAGATGTCAAGGTCTTGCTGTTCCCATTCCAAATGAAATGGGTTCATGTCCTGTTAATCAAGGAGTACAGCTGCAGCATTTGTCATTTCCCTTTAAAGTAATGGGTGGTTGATACCTGTCATTTCTCAAGAAACTATATACCAGATTAAGGTGTATTTATAGAAATCTGAATTGCTGGTAACTTGGCTGAAGCCAAGTTTAGGCATACCATTAGTAACACATAATGAAATGACCTAAGTGCAGTTAGATTTGGGAGGGGGAGGAGAAAGCTCTTTGAGTTGGATAGCTTGAGGATGCTGTTTTACTATTAAAATTAAGCTTCTGACCCCTGGCACTGAAGTGATAAAAATAAATCTTCCTATATTTCTCTTCTGCATTTAATCTTCTGTATTGGAAAAGATAAAAAAATCAAATCTCCTTCTCTCCCTTGTCTCTTTCTTTTCTAGGTACAGGACCTATTTATGCTACAGACCCACTCCTATACGTGTCCCTGTTAATACTGCATAAGCTTGTACATTTATTAGTAAACCACTGACGGACTACTCCCTCCACTCCTCCTCTGCCAAACAGAAAGGAACCTATTTAATAACAAACAAAATCCCTGACAAAAAAAAATACCTACAGTTTTAAAGATGGACAGAAAGAAACTGAAAGAAGCATGATAAATTCTACATGGGGGGAAAAACATATTTTTTGGGATGCCACAGAAAAGTAAATCACATAGAATAATGCATCTAGTTTCCAGACTCTATGGTGTAAAGCCCTGCTCTGTGCATGGCACTTATGATTTCTCTATTTTAATGTAATATTTTTTCTTTTCTAAACCTTTCCTCTGACTCTTCATTTTGCACGAACTGTTGAGCAGTTATCTTTATGACAATATGTAAAGATGTTGGGTCAAACCCTTCCTAAGAAAGGAAATATTTTTAGTAGATTATTGTGTTTAGGTTTTTTGGATTTCCTTTTTCTTTTTTAATTAAATTATTTCTTTTGGAGACATAAAAAAGGTACATCTTACCATAATTAATATTCACTGTCAATAATATTTATTTTTAAATGAAGATTGGAAACAAGGTAAGACATTTGTTTATAAACTGTATTGTATATTGCTGAATAACAGTTGAATAAAAAGATTTTGAAATAAAGTTTTTACAGATGTGTGTGCCTTTCCTTGTGTTCTGAAGGTCCCTGAGAAAGCTTCATGGCTGGGTGTGTTCTCTACCTTGTTATAACTCAGAGACTTGAGGAACAAAGCAGCACAAACAAAATAAAATCGAAAACAGTTATTTTTCAGACACCCTCACCTAATGCCAAACCCTACAGCAGAATGTGCTGGCAGCTACTCATAGGCTGTAGCTGTGTTTTCCTGTGGTGACACCAGTTAACTCTGGGCAGTTAATCCAAGATCCATCAGATGGGCAGCGAGACAGTGTGCAGCATTTGAGGTAAGTTGCTTTGGTTTTGCTCCAGACTTCTCTGAAAAAAAAGATGAATCTCAAGTAGTGGAAAATGAAAATAAAAATAAATCAACGTGGAATGTTGTATTCCCTAGACCTGGTTCCAAGATTTGTTTAAAATGTATTCAGATTTCTAAAAATATATAGTTGTATCCCTTTTCTTAACCAAGTGAACTTTCTCTAATGAAGCTTTTTTACAGTAAATGCAGCAGTTATTTTTCTGTTCCAAAATACTTGTTTTTCAAGGGAGGTAATAGGATGACTTAGTAAAGAAACACGACCTTCTTTAGCTGAATTTAGTGAAGTACCTTGAAATCTCCTATGGCTGACTGTGACTCTTGTCCTTTTATTTGAGTGGCATTTTAGAAAGAACCTTCATTGTGGAAAAGGTAAAGTGACAGCTCCAGTGCCAGCAGGACTCTGCCTGCAGGAGCTGGGGAGCAAAGGCAGGACATGGCACTGCCTCACCTCATTCCTGAGTCCTCTTCTAGAATTTTCTCAGATGATCAGAATTTCCTTTTTCTAGGACTGCCAGTGAGAGAGAGGCATTTGTGCTGCTCACACTCACTAGGTTTGAGACCAAAGCACATCTGTGTTTCATACGTGTTACTGCCTTGCAAAATCCCTCTTGTACTGGGGCAAACCTAATATGGGAATCCAAAGGTGGTAAAATCTTTGCAAGAAGGTTCGTCCCATTAATGCCAGCTGTAAAATCCCGTGGATTGGGGAATAATCCATAATCATCCCACAAGAAGCAGAAGTGCTCTCTGGAAGAACTCAGAGGAGGTGGTTGTTGCAAGCCTGGAAGTGCATCAGAGCATGAGACACTGAAGAACACAGTCCTTCCATATGAACACAGGAGGGCCAGGCTTTCATAAACTGCAAGGAAAAGATATGGAAAAAAAGATTTACATGTTGGACCACATCTAGCCCATTTCTAATGCCAGCATTCATGTCTGGGAACTTGTTCAAGGACAGTTACTTCAACAGAGGAATGTGTGGAGCCTGCAATGTCAGGAGAGCTCTAACCCTTCAAGCAAGTGCTGGTCGTGCAAGTGAAAGCTACCTGGGTTTGGACTGGGGCTCCTCTGCCCAGCTCATCATCACTGCTGCTGTTTCCTCAAGGGCAGGGAATATTTCTCAGGGCCTCATCTTCCTTCTGAGGGAGAGGACTAAAATTTTTTCACAAGCTGAAGAAGAAAACTACCTAGAAATTGGTCTAAATAAATGGTGGGTACTTGGAGCAGTGGAGCGTGTCTATCTAGAAGTGGTTATGCTGCTCTTTCAACTTCAGCCACACCTCAGCTGGTCTCCTAGTAAACAGGTATCTGCTTTGCTCTGATACTTTTCTTTTGTCACTTATGGAGTACATTGTATCTCAAATTGAATACTGTGTGGTTTGGAGGAAATACATCATCCTGAGCTTGCCCTTCCCTTCCTTTTGAGGCCTGTTACCTGCACAGGGATGTGGCAGAAACTTCAAGTTTTGTGTGCAGTGACAGGAGTAGAATTATCAAGGTCTTTTAGACTTTAATCACATTAAAGGTGAAAAGATATTAAACCTGTGACTAAAAATAACTTTTTTTATCCCTTCTGGGATCAGAAGTAAGTGTGCCACAGTAGGAATAACAATTCTTATATTCCAATTCACCATAAAACCTCAGAACTACTAAACAATAACCTGAGGATTTGATGAAAAATCTCATCTAGCAAGAGTAATAGGCATCTCTTCTTTCCAGTGAAGACCTGCACACATGCAGAGATAACTCACTACCAGCACACAGGATAACTTCAACAAGGGAGCAGATTGCCAAGATGACCTGGCTCTACTTTTACCTTCCCTATATTTTTGCCTTCAAAAATGTGCAGAGTGAGTCAGGGAGCTCGGCCTCTGCAGCCCTGTTTTGGGGCCATGGTTTCCACATTCAAGCCAGCTTTTTTTTTTGCAAAATGCATAGTCTAAAACTGGCCTTATAGTCCTGTAGTGCAGGGAAAATAACTGTCTACAGGGGAGACTGCAGCTTTTGGTACAGTATTTGGTCTTTAAAAAGCACTTAAAGGAATGAGCAGCATTTTGAAGAAAAATGGTAAAGAATTTGAAGCCTTATTGCTTGTGAGTGTGTTAAGAACTTTTGCTAAAACATCTGTCCTTTGAGAGTGCTCTTTCTTCTGAAAAGGGCAACTGCCTCACTTCTGCTGATTGTATTTACAAAGGGTAAAGAGAGGTTTTGCTGTACCCTTAATGGACAGAGGCTAGTGGCAAATCTTGCTATTTCATAAATCTCAGCATTCCTCACGGTGTCTGCTGTCAGAATCGATTAGGAGTAAGTGCTTGGACTGCAGAGCCGTGGAGAGGCGGTGTGTCTCCTGCAGTGCCATGCAAGGCCAAGCAGAGAGTCCTCCAGCACGGGTGGTGGGGTGGGTGTGTGCCCAGGCACCCGGGAAAGCAGCCCCAGGTCCCTGCCATGGGGACAGGACAGGCATCAGCTCCTCGCACAGCCAGCAAACAGCTGAGCTGGGAAACATGAGTGATGGCTGGTAAGGGCCAGAGCTGAGTCATCTGTAATATAATCATAAGGAAACACACATTTTTCCTGAGAGAAAATCAATAGAACTTTGCACTTTTCCTTGTAATATTTCCAGTCTGCGCCATCAGCCACAGCTCGCTCACGGTTACACTGCCATAAATTCACTGCGAGTTAATGGATTCCTACAAAAATGAATGGATTTAAAGCAGTGTAACAGAGCTGAGGCTGGAGCCATGCACATGTAAAAATACACGGAGCAAAAGTAGTTTCACAGCACACAGGTGACCTTTAATGTGCCACGACCTACCAAGTAAAAACCAAAATTAGCTAGTTCCTGGTGTGTTCCTTTTCTGGCAGAAGTCCCAAGGAAAATGCAGCCTGCAGTGCTGAAAGCCTCGCTGTGCATGGCAAGAGGGCCAGACCCACCGAAGGGAAGATGAGTGAGTGAGCAGCTTCACACTGTGATGGAGAGTGCAAAAGGCTATCTGAATATGTAATTTGTCATTTCCTGCATAAAACATTTTGGAGCCTAGTCTCACTTAGAATTAGTAAGTAAGTAAATAATGTGCTCCCAAACTGGTGTGTCAAAACTAGGTTGGTTAATGTATGAGCTGCCTCCGTTGCATTTGTTACTCCACAGCAAATTTCATGCTTAGCCAGAGGCTGGCAAAGTTCATTTATTCATTATCCCCAAACTTTGGACAGTTATTATTCAAATTCCCCCAGTACATCTATTTAATAAGAAGAGAACAGAAAATTGATGGGATCAGAAATGTTAAAGTCTTAATTAATGCTTTTAGCAAAGACTGATTGGAGGGGGGCTGTCGTGCGAATGTTAATGTGCTGCAAGCGCGTGTGCTGGCTGGCGTCGGGGAGGGCTCTGCCAGCCCTGCCAGGGAGCTCAGCCCCTGCACCCCAGTGAGCTCAGGGCCCATGGGGACACCACCTGTGTCACCCTGGGGGCTCTGTGCCACCAGAGCAGGGAAAACCAGTGCTGCACACCACGGGAGAGTGCTAAAATACCAGCGTACGCTAATTATTGCTGATAATGAAAAAAAGCGGGTGTTTAAATGATAAAACATTGGTTTACAGCAGGAAAAAGATATGGGATTTTTATTCTTCGCTGTTTTGGGGCTTTTGTGGTGTTTCTGTCTCCCAGCAGCCATGCAGTGCTGCAGGTCACTGAGCTGTGATGGGGGGATGTAGGGCATCCGTGGGCTTCACTCACTGAACGGATGCCCTGAGGCAGCACCCAGGGCTGTGGGCACACGGGGTTTGGGGTCTGTGCACACAGGACTGGTTACAATTACTCCATAAGAAAATTAACTGGCCTTAAAACAAAGGGAATGAGATGAAGGCTGGAAGAATCCCAGCAAGGCAGGAGGGCATCCTTGAGGGTCCCAGTCGTGCCCCAGAGCAGCATCAGCTGTGTGGTTTGATAGGGGGTGGGGAAGAGGAGGGGTGGCCAGGGGGGTTTGTTGCTGGCTTTAGACCATGTTTTTAAAACCCAGCAATCTCTGCTGAGTAAAGATGGATATTGTTATAAATGAAGCCAGTCAGGGAAAATGTGTACTTCAGATCTGCATCAATGACAATCCAAAATTTAGCACTGAACAAGGTGGCTTTTTTAAAGGATCTGTGCTAATGCCAATGAATGGATTTAAATCTCCTATTTCTCCTCTGGTGAGTGCCTGCCTTCTAATTATAGCAATTATGGACATTCCAAGCAAAACACAGTTACATTAAGAGTGGAATCGAAGAGGACTTTGATGTAGTTATTTAATGGATTTCCCTATTTGTCGCCTATAGATTTCCTTTCCTGTTATTGTTGAAATGTATCTTAAATCTCACATCGAAAATCATCTGTAGTGTAATACCAACTAAATTACCAAGATCTTGATAAATAACTCAAAAATGTTTACAGTTCAATTGAGGATTATACTTTTCCAATAGGAAATTTTTGGAATTTATTCTAAGGAAGGTGGGAAAGAGAGTATTAAGCAACTTTTTTCTGTTGCATGACCAGACCTGTCAAAAGCTTTCATTCATCTCTGTGTTAGTATTACCCTTGAAATAGAAAGCAGCAGGTTAAGACTTTGAAAGTGTTATGCAGGATGAAAAAAACAGATGACCACAAAAATGGGCTCTTATTTTTTAATTTCTTTGTTATT